CCAGGAATCAAACTGGCAAACTTCCGATTATAGGATGATGGTCCAACCAACTGAGTCATATCAGCCAGGCCTGTTCTTGGGAGATTTTAGAAAGAGAGGAAGTATTGGTGATGTATTCTTCTCTTGACCAAAAAAGAAAAAAAGGAAATTTCAACACTGACTCTCTCCGAGTCGAATGCTCTAATGCAGTACAAACTTGAATAGTCACTGGGCTCATCTTCACCTCTGCGTGAGGCTCACTCTGCTCAGATGCCATCTCTGCAGTGTTTCCTTCCCAGATGATCCTGAGTAGTACACTTCTACTTCTCCTCCCTGCCCCCAGCTGCCCTCATAACACTCAGATCACTACCTGAGAGTATAGTGTATTTTACTCACTGTTTGTATGTTTATTATGTTTCCACATATCACAATAAAAGTTCATGTATGTGACAACCTTGTTCTTTAGTTCACTGATAAACTTATGAAAATAGTTTCTTGAACAGAGTAGTGCCTTAAAAATATGTGTTGAAAAAATGAACTCTCAGAGAATAATAAGCACCTAAAGTGAGAATAAGAAGTAATTGCTCCAACTCTATGAAACCATCCTAAGTCATGCAGCCTGGACTCCTCGTAGAGTCTCTGACTCAGTAATTCAGGGGTGGAACTCAAGAACTTACAGTGCTAGTGAACTACCTGGTGATCCTCATGTAACTGGTCAGGAGACAACTTTGGCAATACTTGATTTACAAGAACTTTGGGGTTAATGAAGTAAATGTTTTTCATTCAAAACTGTACTTTTTGAATAACAAATAAATTGTTCAAATTCTTTTTTAAGTATTCATTTAAGTTTTAATTTAACACTTTAACTTTTATTTTCAAATAAACATATTATGTTTTTATAGCCAGGGGTATAAGGACTTGGTTATCCTTGTTGGAAAAAGTGTTGGTTCTCCTCTGTGGGGAAGTCACCATATAGTTAAGGCCTGGGAGGCACTCTAAGAAAGTAAAGATTTTTCTCAGAATAAAGGTAGTTATTAGTCACCTCTAGACTGTTATTATGGCTAGAATTCCAGAAATGGCATACAGAAGTTTATTTTCTCTTCATTCTTTGTGGATTATGTCACTCTGGTTAACCGCTACTTCTAAATATGATGGTTAAAACTTCAAGGTCTTCATTCCTTAAATTTAATTTAAGGAATGTGTGGTCATAAAGTATGAAAATGCCATATTGTTCTGAGAATACATCTGAATGCCAAGAATTGAAGTGAGCAATGGCAGCAACACCATAGCAATTAAGGCTCATTCTGCAGTTTGTGTATGATATCTCTATTTGTTAATCTAAAAATTCAGACAAGATTTTTAACTCGTGTGTGAATATCTCCTAATGTAATCTGAAGAAGTCCCAAAAGGCCAGGTAATACTTTACTCGATTTTTCAAGTATGATGTGTTTTCTAATTTGGTTCTAAGAACTTGAATCTATCAATGGAAAGGTCACACGCTCCTGAGTCTTGTGATTAGGTGGTTTCTTCATTTAAAACACATAATTGTCTATAAAACTTTCTGATCCTTAGTTTTAATGTTTCAGATTTTTTTTTAGATTTTATTTATTTATTTTTAGAGAGAGGGGAAGGGAAGGAGAAAGAGAGAGAAACATCAACGTGTGGTTGCCTCTCATGTGCCCCCTCCTGGGGACCCGGCACAACCCAGGGTTTCAGACACATAGAAGCATAATTCTGGCTATGTAAAACCTTCAAAGTTTCTTCCATCTTCCTCTCAAAGTCTCCTTCAGAACTTAAAGTGAGTTTGCCTTTACAACTTCAGGACACATGTGCACTGAACTAGAAGCTTCTCTAGAAACTTGTTTTAATTTGGTAAATTTCCTCTTAAAAGGCTCAGCACTTTTCTTACTTGTGCCTACTAGAGTTATTTCCAAAGTTTCTAATTTTTTCTATCAAAAGACTATTTGAAGTAATTTGAGTATTTTTTGTGAAGAAGTTCTTAAGTAGCAGCTTCCCCCGACTATCTAATCTGTAATTGCCTAACTGCTTAGTAACATCTATTACTGTTCTTTGTCTTCTTGCTTGAAGTGAGCTTTTTGATCAGCTTTCTTATTCGTGATTTTATTTCACAGCTGTGGACTTACACCTGTTGCATTTGGTCTTTTGCCTGGGAAAATGGAGGGTAAAAAAGTCTTGCTCATTACCACTGCTACTATCACTATGAGTGCTAGAAGAACTAGATTTATACCGCTTCTCAAAATGGCCAGGGTTGTTAATATCTGATGTTTGAATGGCCTTACTGTATAACTGTACTTCTTCAGAATGGCCACTTTGTACTTCCTGTAGCAGCCTTTCTTTTCTTCCATCCCACATTGGAGTTTTAGGAATTTGGGTTTCAAAAGACATCGATGTTTTATAACAAAAAATGCTGAAAAACACTTTCCTTCACTAATAGTATAGATTTTATTGGTTATAGGGGAAATTTTATATTTCTGTTTGGTACAATACCTAGCTTCTTGTGACAGAGCTTGATAATAGATCATTCATCCGTGACACTGCTGTAGTGAGCAGGTATGATAATTTCCCACATTCCCTTAAGAATTCTTCTGTAATATTTTCTTCTGAAGGCTGTTCAACAATATGTAGAGCTTTTCCCTCAAAATCAGAAATCTTTCTCACTGTCTCTTCTATTTCCGCTCTTCTTTTACAAGCCTCTTTTTAATTCAAGGTAGTACCTGCAGTGTTTCAGGAAGGTGGCAGGCAGTTGGGGACAGGGCAGGACCTGTGGCAGATTCACATGGGAAGCATCAGGGTCAGAAGACCCAGACGTCTTTATTGGAGGTTCTGCCTCCCCTAGCATTCATTGTATGAGGCAGGGAAGCAAAGATAGGGCCTGGAGAGGTTAAACTCTTCATTGAATCAATTCATCTTCTTTCCCTTTATATTTCTTTAAGAAAAAAACACATAACTTATCCAAAACTGTAATTTTCTTCATCATTTTCTATTGGATATCTGATTAAAACAAATGTAATACCTAGCATCAGGATACTAGAGTCAAGCATTTAGTATAATGAAATATTTAAATGTACAATGCTATCTTTACCTGGGTTGTGATTTTTCTCAAGATTAGTAGAAGAGGCCTGCATTGATCTGGTATTAATAATTCCTATTAAAGCTAACAGTCTGCAGTAAAAGCCCAGACAAACATTCTGGGCTTTTTTAAATCTCATTTTTATGCTCTATAAGACCTTAAACATTTTTCAACAACTTTTGTCTTTTCCACGTGGAGAAACTATGTTTCCGAAAGGCTACTTGCTTCTCAAAATTTACCCAACTATAGAGTTAGAGCCAAAAATTCACAGCAATCTCAGACCATAGTGGCTCTCAAGAAAACATTATGACTTGTTAGTTTTTTATGCTGTGAATTCATTGAGCTAGGAGTAGGAGACATAGATTAGAAAACATGAGGAGAAATATAAAAATATAGCTAATAAATATTTGTTGAATGAAAGTGACTCAACATGAGAATGAAAATTATGTTAGTTAATGAGTATTAGGTTTAGTAATAGAAAAAGCAACAAATTCAAAATGCCATTTTAACTTTCTATGTACCCCTTCATTTCAACAGCCTTTTGTGTCTAGAAATTCAGGGTTGGGTTCTACCACAAATCCTGACTATTATTATATAAAAATGTTTTTAAAAAGAAAGTCAAAGACATCAACTCCCTAATGCATCACTGCTAATGTCCCTAATGCATCACTGCTAATGATTGATTCACAGTTATGTGAATCAATCCCACCCTAAAACCATATTAGCTGATTCTCCTGGATTAAGAATATCCAAAACTGCACCTGTCTCACTTAATCTGAAGAAAAAATGAGCATAGACTCTATTGTAAAGTGTAATGTGAAACCCATTTTAGTAGTTCTATTTTATTCAACTTGTTAGACTTTTTCATTGAAATAAATTGAAGCAAAGCTAAATATGAAAAATTATTTTGTATTCCTGAGTTACCTAGTCTTTTTAAAACAGAATATCTCCCTAAACAGGAACAGAGTCAGCTTACTTACTCTATTATTGTTTTTTAAATGCATTACTCATTTCTTAGTTACTGATTGTTTTATTTATTTTCTGTAAGTCTTATACATGCCATTTTTGCTCACAGCACAAAATGATGGTTATTCACATAAAATCCCTCCTAATATACTAAGTCCCCAAATTATATTTTCTCTAAGGCGAATATCATGCTATCATAAACTTAGCTGCCACAAAAATCAAAGATATTCTAATTCCAATATATTGAAAAGGAATTTGTTTTGAGCTCAAAGTGCTTAAAGAACCAGTAAATTAATCTGTCTATATATAGGGTTGGGCAAAACCAATGCCCACTTTTATTACAAAATCATAAGTATGTAATTCCGTAACATAACAATATCGCAGTCAGGCACACCAGATGACATTCTAGGTGAAATGTTCAAATTAAAACTATAAATTATTACACCTATATTATTATTTTACCAACCACACTCAAGTAGGCCTTACTTCTGCTGGACACTGTATATATTTTATTGATTGATTTTGAGAGAAAGACAGAGAGAGAGAAACACTGATTTATTGTTTTACTTATTTATGCATTCATTGTTTGATTCTTTTATGTGCTCTGACTGGGATCCAACTCAAAATCTTGGCATATGAGGGTGATGTTCTAACCAACTGAGCTACCCAGAAAGGGCATATAATTTTTCAATCAGTCACTCTATTGTTCAGAGAAGTTGATGATTCTATTTAGCATCCTTTAAGTATTTTATTCAGAAGGGGAAAGGACACATAAATAACCTGAAGCTAAGGTGGGCTGACAGGTTGATTTGGTAGCACCAGGAACCTGCTCTTTTTCAGACAATTCAATGTCTTTATTTGTAATGGAATGATGATTTTCAAAGATTTATGGAAAACATGCCCAGTAACAAAAATAAATTAATAAATTGATTAAAAAAATAAAACCCATTTCTAGTATTCTTACTTGGAGGCAGATCCTGCATTTTGGGAATATAAAAATACTCCCTGAAGTGCCTTAGCTTATCTTCCTCATCAAGATGGAGAGCAACCCTCTCATCTGTAGGGTGACATCTCAGTTTTGATGCCACACGTTGCACTGTGTCAGCTGGCGTTTCAAAAGGTAAAGGCTCCATTGCAAGTTCTCTAAAAAATGAATAATAATAATAATTAATAATAATAGTAAAGTCACCATTATTTTCTTTTCTGAAGAAAATTAGCTCTTTAGGTAAAACACCTTTTGATTTAACTAAGATTCCCATCTTCCCAATCACAGAAATAGTACAGTTATCCAAACAGCATTAAACTCTATGCCTGGGTTTTTCTCATGTATAAAACAAAGAAAATAATGGTCACTTAGGGATGCTGAAAGGATTCAGCTAAGTAATGGTTCTCTCGATAAATGCTAGTTTTATTTTCTGGAAAATGAACCAAACATATCAAACATATGTATCAAACAAAAGTATCAAACATATATAATTTCACCTTTTCCTTTAAATGCCTTACTAAAAGAAAACAAAGATACTTTTGTGAAAGTGTAGAATAGTGCCCCACCTAGCTTGTGCTTCTCCCTATCTTGCCTCCACTAACTCAACTCCAGTGATTCTTAGGTCGTGTGTGTGTGTGTGTGTGTGTGTGTGTGTGTGTGTAATCTCCATATGGATATATATCCAAATTTATATATATAAAATAGAACTTTAACAAATTATTGAATGTGAATGAAAATGATGTTGATAAAAAAGGTAATTTTACTTTAAATAATATTAGTATTTTTTGACATATGAAGAACAAAGAGAGCTACTTCCTGCTAAAAATGAGAAACTTCTCTTTCACTACCATATCTTAGATCAAATCAGGTATTTGTGGTTTTTCTTGAAACCACACTCTACTCCATTTAATTATCATCAAACATTCCCCACCTTTTGGGGAGGAAAACATTTTTTTCTGAAAGGAATGAATAATGATAGAGATTTAAATACATGTTTAAAACCTTACCCAAGTTTCATACAGGTTTTTACATTTCTCAAAGTTTTAGTTTTTAAAATTGAGTAAGAATGGTATTAGAGTAAAACAGTTGTTTTCCACAGGCTAGCTTGATTTACATATGTATACTTTTGCTGGCATCATTTCTACATTTTTCTAGTCATTTTCTCTTTCAGTAAATATTTATTGAGAACCTGCCACATTGCACCATGCACTGAGGGATCAGCAGTGTATAACATAGTGTATATGTAGTGACTTTTGTAGAATTTACTTTATAAGAGAATAAAAATAATTAAAGTATACAATTTCAGATGGTTTCAAGATCTGTGAGTAAACAGAGCAGAGTGCTGGGATAGAAAGTCACAGGGGTATGGAATAAATACTATGAGAGCTCAAGTGCACCTCTATGGGCCAGGGATATATTGTCATTTCTGAATTCTGATATGGATAAGAGCTGGACTTGGAGGAAGACAACAGGTTCTAAGATTACAGGAAGATAAAAGGTTCTAAGGTGAAGATGCACTTGACTCGTTCAACTGATGCACTAAGAGAAGTAGAGGAAGTAGGAGAGCTTGATGGAGGAGAGACAGAAGTACAAGTCAGCCATGAAGAACTTCGAAGCCCAGGGGAAGTTTGTATATTTTTCTAAATTTAAAGGGAAATTATTGGAATATTTTAAGTAGAAAAATGAAATGAAGTAATTTTATATTAAATGAAAATCACTTTTTCTGCTCTCTGTTAATTTATTAGTTTAAAACAGAGGTAAATTAAGGCTATTTTAACAGTTAAAAGTAAAACAATGGTAAATTGAATGTGGTGAGGGGAAAAGTGCAGGGAACTATCTGGATTTATAATGTATTTTGGAGAAAAAGTTCAGATAATCTCTGGTGAAGGCAAGCAAAAGGGTAACATTTGGCTTTGGGAGAAATACCTAAAGAAATGCCTGGGGAAGAAACATTTTAAGAAGGAGAATCAGAATTCTATTTAGAATATGTTAAGTTTGAGATAAATACTGAACATTCAGGTAGAAGTATCAAGTTGGCTCTTGAATATTTATGTCTGTAGCTCAGGAGAAAATTGGATCGCAAGTTGTACATTTGATATTTTCAACTCAAAGAGTGTACTTATGATCTAGAATGCCTAGGGATAAGACTAAGACTAACATAGATAAAACTCTAGAATTGCAATTTTATTATCTTACACATACACAGTATTAGACAATAAAGAACTGCATATCTAAATGCACACAATGCCAATCAGATAGACACTCTTCCTACCCTCTAAACTAAATTCTTATTCTTACCTGACCCCTTCTTTTCTCATTTGCCAATGGTCTCCCTTGATGGCTATTCTTTACATTATGCCCAGATAAGGTTACTGAGCTTCATCTGAGCATTTTTTTTTAGTTTTGATACCCATAAAGGGGGTATGAACTGAAAAGTTGTTACAATTCATGCTTCTTTTCAAAAGTTAGTAACTTCACAATTGATCTTGATTTTTCTTTTAATATCTCACCATACTAAATTATTATTTGTTCTCTTCATGAAATTTTTTTCTGGATTTTTCTCATAACATACGCTTTGCCAAAAAATGTTCTACTTTCCCTTGTATATATTGAAATCCTAGTCATCTTTCAAAGTCCTTGCTGAAATGTGACTTTTTCATGAGGCCTTTCATGATGTCTCAGCTAAAGTAGTCTCTTCTCCTCTGAACACATAATACTTACAAGAACGTATCATATAATAAGTAATACATTTTGTCAGGTCCTGTATTTATTTTGATATATGCATGGATGGGAAAGGTCAAACATACTTGTCACATTTACAACTTAATTCTAAATGGGTCTCTACATACAGTTTTCTTTTATTTAAGTTATATTTTATTGATTATGATATTACAGTTGTCCTGATTTTTTCCCCTGTGCTCCCTTCCACTTAGCCCTCCTCACTCCCTCAGGCAATCCTCCCACTTTTGTTCATGTCCAGAGGACATGCATGTAAGTTCTTTGGTTACTCCCTTTACTACATTGTATGTTACATCCTGGTGGTTATTCTGTAGCTACCTATTTTACTTCTTAATCCTCTCACCTCTCACCCATTCTTCCCCCCAACTTCCCATTTTATTTTTATATTTAACTTTTGGCATTTTAATTATGATGTGTCTTGGAGTGGGCCTCTTTACATCCATCTTGTTTGGGACTCTCTGTGCTTCCTGGACTTGCATGTATATTTCCTTCACCAAATTAGGGAAGTTTTCTTTCATTATTATTTCATAGATTTCCAATTCCTCACTTTTTCTCTTCTCCTTCTGGCACCCCCATGAAATGAATGTTGTATTGCTTAAAGTTGTCCCACAAGCTGTTGACACCATACTGATTTTTGGGGATTCTCTTTTCTTCTTGGTCTGATCTTTTCTTTCTTTCTTTTTTTTTTTTTTGCTGTCTTATATTCCAAATCATTCATTTGATTTTTGGCTTCATCTACTTTTCTGGGTTTTTTTCCCTGTAAATTGTTCTTTATTTCAATTCATGTATCCTTTGTTTCTGACTGGAACTCTTTTATGCTGCTGAGGTCCTAACTAAATTCCTTGACCATCCTTATAAACAATGTTTTGACAGCTTCATGTGGTAAACTGCTTATCTCCTTTTTGTTTAGCTCTTTTTCTGGAATTTTGATCTGTCGTTTCATTTGGGCCATGTTTCTTTGCCTCTTCCTTTTGGCTGCCTCCCTGTGTTTGTTTCTGTATATTAGGTACAACTGCTATGTCTCCCTGTCTTGGTAGTATGGCCTAATGTACAAGCTGTCTTGTAGAGTCCAGTGGCACAGCTTCCCCTATTACCCAAGCTGGGTTTTTGAGGTATACCCTTTGTGTGGACTGAGTACACCCTCCTCTTGTAGTTGAGCCTTGGTTGCTGTTGGCAGGTCAATGGGAGGGATTTTCCCAGGCTATTCAGCTGCAAGAACCACTACCATCAACCTCCACTCGCCTTGGAGGATCAGCTGTGCAGGGGCAGGATGGCAGTACTCTAAAGTGGTCTATAGCTATCCACTGGGTGTGGAGCCCTTGGAGTTTCCCAGGTGTTGCAGGCCAAGTTCAGCCCCCACCTATGTTTTGCCCAGGGCCACCCTGCCTGAGCTATAAAGCAATCTGAGATGGCCACTACCTGTGCTGGACCTGGAGATTTCCAAATGATACCAAGTCATGAATCTAGGCTGACAGTTGAGGGCCTGGGGCTCACTGAGGCCAGCTGCTGCTTGTTTGCGAAGATTTAGGAAGTTGTGAAGTATGTGCCAAGACCAGCCATTTGTATGGAGGAGCAGCTTGGATGGGCCCATAAATTGGGTGGGGTGGAGTCACCAGGGATTTCCATGGTGGATCAAACAATGTTAGTCAGGGTAATGGAATCTTAGATAGGGTACCAGTCTGCCCATTCTGTGATGGGAAGGCCCCCAAAAGGTACAATGGCCTCTGCTTACCTTGATGCCTCCCCCTGCATGCCACTGGTGCCCCTCAAGTTGCCTCCCTGGCTCCAAAGCCAGAGGGAGTGAGTCTGAGGAGGTGAGTCTGTGTGTGGGTTCTTTAAGAGGAATTGTTTGGGGCCTAGAAGTGTCTTTTACCAACTCAGTCCCCACTGATTTTCACAGCCAGAAGTTGTGGGGGCTTATCTTCTGGGAACGGGAACCCTGGACTGGGGGTGTTGGTGTGAGACTGGGACTCCTTTCTTCCAAGATATCTTTCTCAAATTTTTATCCACTACACATGGATGCGGGACCAGCCCATTCTATATCTGTGCCCCTCCTACCAGTATGGATTAGATGTGGTTTTGTTAATTCTGTAGTTGTCTGACTTCCATTCAACTCAGTATCTGTCAGTTCTGAGCAAGTTTGCTCTGTATTTTGGTTGTAATTCCCATGTGGTTGTGTGAAGAGGTGAGCCACATATGCCTATGCCACCATCTTCACCAGAAGTTCTCTACCTACAGCTTTCTAATGAAGAAAATGTTTTCTGAGTAGAGATAACTATAACTCTACCACTTGACATTATCAATTGACTGATTACCAATAATTAGACTGCTCCCAGACACATGACCCACTAAAGACAATGGTGTTTTCAAAGGACTGTGAGTAGCTTCGCTGTAAAAGCTCTAACCAAACAATTATAATGGTGTTTAGCCAATCTTATAATGAAATTCATTCAGGAATGAGCTGTGAGATTTAGTTCTTCATTCAGTTAGAAACAGGAGCAAATTTGAAAAATCACAGAGAGAAACAATAAAATGGTAGAGTGTAGAAGGAGTACTATCATAAGTGATTCATTTTCTGCAGTCATGCAAAACCTCTGATTGTTAAAGTTTCAAGTGATCCCAGCAGAAAACAAGAATCAATTGTAATAAATAGCATAGCTAGAGATAGAACGTCTATGGTTCCTGAAAAGGAGACAGGGCAAGTCAGTCTGCATAGTCACTGAATTCTTCCCTACAACAAACTACATGAAAGGCCAGGGAGGCTGCCTGCTTCACTGTTCTGAAAACGCCATGGGCTGTTTTCCTGCCTTTCTATCAGGTATATCTTTACTATAAACCTATTATAGGAGAACACCAGTTCTCAAACTTAAATTGTTCTAGAACCTGTTTGAGATAAGATCTTTTTTCTTAATTGGATTTTCATTGTCATAGAGAGGCACATGACTTATCATACAGGTACCAGAATGAAAATGTTGTTGGGTAGGGAACTAAAGTTTTGCTCAACCACTGAGACATTTTTTTCCTGTTAACAACTTGATCGAGAGCCAAACTGTTAGAGATGGGAGATGTTCAAGAATCGAGGTTTGACTGTACTTACCATAGCTCGATTGAGTTGCTGGTCTACCATACTGAACCATATACCACTTGGGGGACCTGAATCTTGTTTAGTTTATCTTTATCATCCCACTGTTGAGAAATGCCTTTTAGATAGTGTTCCACCAAATTGGCAGTTGAATGAAAATATGTAAAATAGCTGGGTGAATTATTTGACATGACAAATGACATGTTACTAGAAGGATACCCTCTCCCATCCAACCAACCACATGGAAAACAATTAGAGGAGCACTTCCAATGAGGTTTGGAATCAAGAGAGTTTAGCTCATATTTGGAAATTTCCTTGGAGAGTCAGCATTTTGAGACATCAATGGAGTTAAGTCTGAGCTCTAAATTGGGTTTACAAAATTAATATACAGATAGTTTTGTTACCATAATATTCCAGTAAAATTTAACTTTCCTTAATAAAAAATTATACATATTCATTCATTAGCTTCTTTGTATTTGTTTCTTATTCAATCTTTGTAATAATCCTTATCAGTGTTCTTTTCTGTACTTAGGAACTAAATTCTGGAATAAACAGAACAGAAAAACCAGAAATAGAAAAATAATAAATGTGGGACTACATTCTGCCTGAGGTGCTGAGTCAGAAGTGCTGACTGCCTCACATCATGTGGGTGGGATGTGCCTAATAATGTGTGTGTGTATATATATGTGTGTGTGTGTGTGTGTGTGTGTGTGTGTACTATTTCTTCATCCCATTCCTTTTATTACTTTTATTACTTGTTTCATTCCTCTATTTAGTCTGCAAAGCACCACAGACTATGAATCCATCTATTTTTAATCAACACTTCTTGTTTCATGCCCATGATATCACAATGCCCTCACTCCAAGGAAACAACTTATTAAGTCATTAAAAACTGCTGCTTAGCCCTGGCTGGTGCATCTCACTGGATTGAGTGCCAGCCTGCAAACCAAAGGGTCATTGGTTCGATTCCCAGTTGGGGCACTTGCCTGAGTTTTGGGCCAGATCCCCAGTAGGAGGTGTATGAGAGGCAACTACACATTGATGTTTCTCTCTCTCTCTTTCTCTCTCCCTTCCCCTCTCTAAAAAATAAATAAATAAAATCTTAAAAAAACACTACTGCTTAATCCTGCCTTCAAGCCACCAGCTCAGACAATGTTTTACAAGCCATAATTTTATGCTTTTTAGGTTTCCCTTTGCAAGCAATTTGACATGCTATTATTTTGAAATCAATTCAAGTTAAAGAAAACTCCAGATCTTATATCTGACATTTTTAGCATTAATTTTATGAAGAACATGGGCATATACACTTATGGTCTTGGGCAAGCCACCTAAACTTTTTGTGTTGCAGTGTTACATAAAAGTAAGTGAAATATTGCTTTCTTCAGAGGGTCTTCAGCACCAAACTTTGCAAACCACTTTGGACACATTTGATCAGTCACAGTACCCTCTCCCTTCTTCATACACTGCACAAATTTTTTTTTTTACATTTCAGTTGCATTTTTATCTTTCTTGAAATAATAAAGCATAATATGACAAGAATGTTGCTTATTTTATTCCATCTTCAATATTAAAATGGCTGCATAAAAACACAATTTTGATAAGTTTTTTTTAAATGCACACTGACATGACAGCTGTCACAATGCAATCTAACAAAATTGTTTCAAATAAAGTTAAAGAGAACTAAGTGTTACTGGAGCCTTCTTATGGGAAACACCAAACAAACTTTTTGGCTAACCCAATATTTCTTGAAATCAAAGTGGAAGTAACTCTGTTTAAAATACATACATTTTTACTCCTCTAAATAAATAATTAATGACTAATAGCACTGTAAGACAACTAAAGAGTTACTAGAAAACAAAGGGCTTAATGCTTAATTTATGATCTGAACTTTGACCTAATTTTACCATTTAAACTCAAGTAACCACAGGATTAACTTTAATTAATCAAAAGTATTTATCTTTTAGTAGATAATTCAGTGAACTATTGACATGAATTCTTTTTCACAACATTGAAAAAGATCTCTTATTTGACACAAAATTTTGCAAACTATAGAAATGATCTCTGGAAATGTAAAGGAAGAATTATTAGGGGATTTTACTACTTTTGTGAATATAATTTAGAGAAAAAGAAGAACCTGGCCAAGGAAACCTCTTAAAGAATTGTGAAAAGGATACTAACAGAGAATACCTCTTTGGAAAAAATCACTGAATATATATTTGCATACAAAGTGTATATCAAGTGTCTCAGTGCTTACCAGCTAAGATTCCAATGAGTTCACAGCTCCTGGTCTCTTGTAAAAGAAAACACTGTCTCAAGAGTTTCTGGCAGATTTACAGGCTAAACCTCAGAGTCTGAAGTTCTACCACTTCTGCTCCAGGTCCACCCTGGGGGAATTTATGAGCTAACTTTAGTTCCTCCTACCATTTCTAACGTAATTGTAAATTTCCAATCACATTCAAACATGTCAGCAAAATGCTTCTTTCGCTTTCCATTTCAGACACTAGGAGCTCTACTTGCACTCTGTTTCTTAAGCAGCTCTGCTCTTTAGACTGCGATAAGCACTTCCTTGCTTTCACAGACCACTGGTCCTGTGAATTACATCTTATATTATCCTGTAGAGCAAGTAGGGTATCCTCATTAGTGTGTGGGCTGTACCAAAAGTTTGTCCAGGAAACAGCTTCCAAAGTTTACTTTCTTTGCTTGCTTTGGGATTTGGTAGACTAAGGGCTGGAGATAAATTCTTTTCCAACTCTGCATATAAGGGTAACCTTTATCCCTTATTTCCCAGAATGTGTGTTTTAACAGTTCCTAGATCATAAATCTAAAAAGTTAATGAGTCAATCAAGGAAGTAGAAGTTTAAGTTTCAAAATCACATTGAAATTAGCCTGGGAAACTTCCTAAAAGTTAATTACTTTTTTAAGCCTGTAGGCTATATATTGTTCTACCTTACATTATCTCTTTCTCCTTATTTTCAAACTTAGGTCTTTTGATGACTGTCTCTTTAGTTATAAAAACCAGTGGCAAGGACTTTCAAAATTAAGACCAAAGATAGAAAGAGCCTGAATAATTGAATCACTTTTGTATACCTACACCTTGTTGAGCTCACACAAAATACCAGATAAAGCAGTATCGATTCACAGAGATAGGCTGCCCAGACTACTAGGAGTGGGCTGAGTTTAGGGAATAAGAGGAGCCTCACTGGAAGATGGCTAACCATCCAGAGTTATGGGAGGACAGTGCCAGATCCTGCCAGGTCTTACAGGGGGAGCCACATTACCTGAGTAACTGAAGGCATGCTCTCTGTCCCCCCTGGGAAAGATGGCAGCAGGAGGAATTTCTTACCCTTAACAATGCAAGGCTGGCAAAATAATTGAATAAGAGGAGCCCACCTGCCCCTTTCTGGTACCAGGTTGGGAGTGAGACAAGAGGATGGCAATTATATAATATGTAATATATATTATATAATATATACATATGTATATATAATTGCATGTAGAAAGTCATTGTACCAAGATACATAAGAAAATAAATAACTTACTCTTTGTTTTTAAATTAACCAGACCAAAAATACTTCTCTTTTGTCTCTGAGAGAGGGAGATAAAACATATGCAATTACTTTAATGTAAGTAATTTAATAGTGAAAAGAAAATATATTTTCTCATATCAGTCCCATCTCTACAGTAATCCTAGGAATAAGTATGGTATCCTCATTTTATTAAGTTTGAAGTATAAGACATTAAATCTATTCAGTGTGTCTCAAAACTTGTGTATGTTTTTAATTTTTTACATGCCTTCCTGCAAGAACTTTGGATGATCTGCTAAGTCTGAATATTCAGGAAATGACCCTGGGGGTGAAGTGTGTGTTATTGTTTGTAGGAGAATCATACTCCTTTAATTAGTGACTATGATATAAAAATAGAAAAAGAGATAGAGATCTACATAAGAAATTTTTTTAAAGATTTATTTATTTATTTTTAGAGAGGGAAGGGAGGGAGAAAGAGAGAGAGAAACAGGAATGTGTGGTTGCTGGGGGCCATGGCCTGCAACCCTGGCATGTGCCCTGGCTGGGAATTGAACCTGCGACACTTTGGTGAAATTTTTACTTTCATATTTTTTCTTCTAAAATCTTGTGATAATAGTGTTAAAAACCATTCCATCAAAATATTATCTTGAAAACCATTACTTAACATAGTTGCTCTTAGAGAACTCGCCTGGAGTTCTAAGCTATATTCTAATTTCTTATATTTGGTAAAGCTTTGTTCTTTTATTTGTTACCTTCATTCATTTTTTTAAACAGCGTTCAGCATATTCTTTGTACTAGGTACAAAGCTAAATGCCAGTGATATAGTGTTGAACATATTCTGTGTATATTAACATAAACCCCTAAAAATAGAAAGGAATTGTGAGATAGCAAGTCATGGGGGCAGTGAAAGCAAAACCAACTGTGGGGCCAGTTGTGGAGGGAAAAGAAAGAAGGAAGTGAGCTTCTATCCCTTCTTTTTTTTGAAAACAGGAAGAAGAATCATGTTGCCAGGACAAATATTAGTACCAATTCAGAGTTTTCCATTAATTTCCATGTATGTCATCTTGCTTACAACATAAATCTCTGAGCAGCAGAGACTGATTTTATCCCCCTTAAAGATTTGCCCATGAATGAAGCTAAATAAATATCTGTTGGATTAGTTAATTTTTTTCAAAAATAGATTTAGTTCCTTCCATCAAAATTAATGATCAGGGTTTTAAGGAAAGTTCTGTTCTCCCAAAGGGTAATTCTTAAACTGTAAACTTCATCCTTCTTCAGGCTTGTTCACTAGAGCTAATGTAGATTTCAATGGATGCTTGTTGTGCTATTAATCAAATTAAATTCGGTGTAGCGAGATGTCTCTGTAAGATCCCAAGGCTACAAATACAATTGTGATACTCTGTTTCTGAATGTTTGCTAAACAAAAACGGGCTAAGGAGATTGTTAAGTAAAAATGGGTGAAGTTTGGTGGTCAATTCAACTCCCACAGTTAAAAGTGTTTTGTAGAAGTGAAAGAAAACTATAACCTTAGAAGCCAGCTGGGGGAAGATAGATGAAAAACTGTGTTCTCAAACTTGGGTACTGAAGGGTAGCAGACTATACCACCCCAACATATGACTAGGTATTTAAAGCTTGCCATTTCAAAATATGCTGCATTGGTATATTAATTACTTTGTGCAGTAGGCATTTGAAAAACATAAAATGCAGGCAGAGACTGTCCCTAGACTCCCCTTATCTGCCTAAAGACAGATCTTCAAAAAGGAACCCACTAGTCATAAACACCGTTGCCAGGAGTTCCATCAGTTGGGGAAGTCGGATTCTTATCATAAAAATGTCACCACACACAGGCAAACTTTGTCACAAACTTCACACCTCTCATTTCCTCTTCAAGGGCCTGTTTGTCTTTCCTAAAAATCATTGGCTTTTCCCTCAAAGATCTTCATTTCTCCCTTTTCCCCATTAAGATAAGATTTAAGCCTGAATTCTAAGCCACCTTAGTAAGTTACTCATTGTTCCTGTGTATCTCCCATATATACATGACAGAAGCATATATGTTAATAAACTTCTGTCCTTTTTCCTCTTGCTAATCTGTCCTTTATTACAGGGATCTCAGCTAAGAACTCAGAAAGTTAAAGAAATTTTTTTTCTTCCCCTCTAGTATGTAAGGAGTTTCTCATTAATCTAGTGTTTAAATGAAATAAAAACTTATTAAGAGTTTATTTCTCACTTTTGTAGAGGGAGATTTAATCTGAGTCATTATTGGGACTCTCCTTTCTTCTTCAAGAGGGTGATGGAAATTTCCCAGATGTTTCACCCACAGCCAAGTACTCTGACACTGGCCTGTTGGCTTCCTTCTCTGTCTTCCCTTCCCGAATTCTCGGTTTTCCCCCACCTCACCATTCTGCACGCCCAAGCACTCTGTATTTCCACTTGGGGTTAAGAAATATAACATAACATATGCTTTCCCAGAAGCCAGGTCAGGAATTTCTCATCAAGTAATTTCTATTCTGAAGCCAAGGAATGCAGAATTGTCTATATCTGGGCAGGGAAAAAAAAATAAAGAACAAGAGACACACACCAAAAATTCTCTCTTCTCTGCTCTTTTCCTTCTTTCCTTTTCCTTTCCTTCTCTGCCCTCTACTTCCCCCCTTTCCCTTTCCTTCCCACCCTCCCCCCTTACCTTCCTTTTTCCTCCTCCCCCTTTCATCCTCTCCCCCACTTGCCCTCTCCTCTTCTGTCCCCCATCTCCTCTTCCCCATGCCTTCCCTCTAATTCTACCTCTCCCCTCTTCCTCTTCCCCATTTCTTCCCCTCCTCTCCCTCCTCCTCAACCCTCGGTCCCTCCTCTCTTTTTTTCTCTCTTCTCTCTCTCCTTCATTTCTCTAGCAGGGAAAGCAAAGCAAATTCATGTACCAATAAATCACTAGGTTTTATTTAGATTATCTATTCTCTTCTTCCTATGAGGTATGTATTTTCATTATTAGAAAGATTTCCCAGCAATGGTCAGGGGCTTTCCTTTCTGTTATACATATTTTTTTTTCTAAGGTTCATTATAATCAGTTTGCCAGTTGGTGATTAAAATTCATTTAGAAACTAAAATTCCTATGACCCATTCCCTTTTTCCTAGATCAGAATTCCTCTCTCACTATCTATGTTAAATTCACATAGATATTTAAGGCAATGTATCACAGTTTTCTAGCTGGACAACTTTAATAGTTCTTTACTACATGACTGCATGTCAATTAACCCAATGTCTGATTGTTTACATGAAGAATTGAAATGAACAAAATAATCTATTTTTTCTGTATTTAAAAAGTAAGTGAATAAAAGAATCAGAGCTGAACCATGTAGAGTTTTCAAAATAATTTTGAAATAAGCAAACACTTTTAACATGGCTGGCTTCAATGAATCATCACATCTGAATATATAGAACTTTGATTAATTAGTAAATTACCATTAAGGATTATAAAACTTTCATTGTAGAGTAAGAGTTTGTTCTCAAAGAAATCATTTTATAGTCAGGGTTGTGTTTTCTCTTTTCTGTTTGACACAGATTTTGTCAAAGTAATCCTGTTATTGCTATCATCATCTTCTTGATAACTAGAGTTCCCCTGATGCTCCTGTAAAACAGGAAACACAAGTAATGAGTCATTTGGACATTATTGACATTGTGATGACTCTCTGCAAAATGGGAACAGACAATGCAACATTTCCATTGAAAGGCAACGCCTTTATACACTAGGAATTCTTCCACAGCGCAAAGGACAACACAAGTGCTCTATTTTTACCATAACAACTCACATCTCACTAAAACATTTTTTAAAACAATTTTTAAAATATAAAGAATGGCTATCAAGACAGGCAGCAAAGGGTGTTTCTTT